AATAATGAAATTTAAAAAATAAAATAAAATAATTTGTTTGCCTACTCTCCTTTAATTTTTTCTTTTTCTTCCATCCAAACAGACTAGAAAGAGTCTTGAGGAATTCTACACTGTTCATTTATTATTATTCCCTCCACAATCCCTTCCCCATCCAACCGCCCGCATTTCTTCTCCCTTCCAAATCTAAATCTCCACCGCCCAAAACATCCATTCACAGACATATCCCCACCTCCCTCTCTCAGATCGGAGCAGCCACACAAACACCACCACCAGCCCCCCCTTTCCCTCTCTTCAGTTTTATTTGAGAGACGAAGTTAAGCTTCTAATGGTGGAAGCGCAGACATGGAAGACACGGCGGATGAGCAACCCACGTCTCGACGCCACCGCCACCACCACCACCACCACCGACGACCAGGTCCTCAACATCCCAGCCACCCCGCCCGGCGACGTTCGGAACACCTACTACTCTCTCGGATCAAAACTATCCCCTAACCTCCTCACCGCCCTCATCATTGCCTCCTGGTTCATGTCCAACATCGGCGTTCTTCTCCTCAACAAGTACCTCCTCAGTTTCTACGGATTCCGCTACCCCATCTTCCTCACCATGCTCCACATGATATCTTGCGCCGCCTACAGCTACATCGCCATCAATTTTCTCGAAATAGTCCCCCGCCAGCACATTTTATCCCGAAAGCAGTTCTTCAAGATCTTAGCTTTGAGCACCATTTTCTGCTTCTCCGTCGTGTGCGGGAACACTTCCCTCAGGTACATTCCGGTGTCGTTTAATCAGGCGATTGGGGCAACCACGCCGTTTTTCACTGCCATTTTCGCTTTCTTGATCACCTGTAAGAAGGAAACAGCAGAGGTCTATTTTGCTCTGTTGCCCGTGGTGTTTGGGATTGTGTTGGCAAGCAATAGCGAGCCTTTATTTAACCTTTTTGGATTCTTAGTTTGCATCGGCTCCACCGCCGGCCGCGCCTTGAAGTCGGTGGTTCAGGGAATCTTGCTAACCAGTGAAGCAGAGAAGCTGCACTCCATGAACTTATTGCTCTACATGGCGCCCATGGCGGCGCTGATTTTACTACCGTTTACCCTTTACATAGAAGGAAACGTAGCAAGAATCACTCTTGAGAAAGGAAAGTCAGATTCTTTCATTGTGTTCCTGTTGATTGGGAATGCCACAGTGGCATATTTAGTAAATTTAACAAATTTCTTGGTGACGAAGCATACGAGCGCGCTTACTCTGCAAGTTCTGGGGAATGCTAAGGCTGCGGTGGCAGCGTTTGTGTCGGTAATGATCTTCAGGAATCCGGTGACGGTTATGGGCATGACTGGATTCGCAGTTACAATAATGGGGGTTGTGCTTTACAGAGAGGCAAAGAAGAGATCTAAAGTTACAATACATTGATAAACAGAGTATGACAAAGAAAGATGATTCATTTTGATGAGCACAAACAACTGGTGCGGCTTTTCTTTTCCTTTTTTGTTCACTTTAATTTCTTGCTTTATTTTGTCTTTGAATTTTTTATTCGATTTTAATGAAGGGAATGAATCAAAGAAGAGAATTTGGATCCAAAGAAAATGTAATTGGATTGTATAGGTTAATGGAGATAAAGGGGAAAAAGGGATTCAATGCTCTTTTTCTTTTTCATTATGGGGTTTCCCCTATGTTTTGCAGAATTATCAACACATAGAAAGACACTTGCTTTTGTACCTCTGTTTTGGAAATTTTTTTTTTTTTTTTTTTTTTTTTGAATTAGTGTTGGCATTCTTTGAATTCATTTCTGGGTTTTGAAGATTTCAACTTGTTAAATCTGGGTTCTTTTCACATTCTGCAAGCTATTTTAGGGCTTATCTTTGTGATCTAAAACGTGGCAGCTTTTAGGATTTCAAGGGATCTATCAATATTTCACATTTATTTCTCAATATGGATTGTCATTGTCTATATTAAGTATGATGTATGCGAAGAAGTTTGCTTCAATTTGATATGCATTTTAATTGGCTTTAGAGGATATATATCTAGGTGAGCATTAAAGATATTGATGAAAGGGTGAAACATTACAATTTCTCTTTATATCTCTTCCAAGAGAAGGGACCAAGTATGAACGAAATACTTTGATTGCTTCTCGTTCAATTGTTATCAAACCATTAACGATTTGTTCAAGTGATAACTACAAGCTGAAAATTAGACGTGTTTTTTTGTTCAGACTCAAGTCTTCCAATTAAGTATGACAGACATAATCTCTAACATGTTTTAAGTTATTGAACTTCTGTTTTAGGTGATGTCGTCATTATCACGTGCTGCTTACCTTTATTGATCTGCACGTTGTGCTAATTAGTCTAATTTGATCGGGATTTGCTATCTAACGTGCTACTTCAATCCTGGAAAAGCATAGGGTTGCTTAAGCTTTTTATGGTGGTTGAGACTTTTTTCTCAGCCTATAATAGTTTAATCCCATTGTGTTAGTTGAAGTGAATGCTGTGGAATTAAGAATTCTAGCATACATGTCTGGATTAAAACAAACAATGGTAATACAAACAAATTCCCCAAATAAAAAAAACAACAAACATAAATAAATTCAATATTCAAACATCTTTAACTACTCCGGTATTAAGTAATAGCCCACCCTAGAATGCCAAGAATGAGCACAATCCACCCATTATATCTAGATGCAACAGATATTCCTGAGCTAGGGGCAGGTGAGGTGGGTCTTCCTGAGCTAGGAGCTGGGGAGATAGGAGGAGATTGCCCTTCAGCAAGCACAGTTCTGGCCAGTTTCATGTTCCCGGCGACACAGTGCTTCCCAATCCCACAGATGTACCATTTCCTACTAGGGTAGTGAGATTTACCACATCATTTCCAGAGGTAAGGGCCTGTGTTTCAGCTGGTGCTGCACATTGCTGAAATGCAGTTCCATCAACTCTGCGCACATTGTGGGCTCCTTGTGGGCTCCTTGTGGATATTTAAAAACTGCACCAAGAAGTCAAGTTAATTGTTAATCATCAATTGGCATTTAAAAAATTCAGCCGTGATACAGAAAGGATGGTTAATTTAAACCAATGTGTCACCAACCCAGAACTCTTTGGTAGCAGCCCATGCTTGGTAATCAAAGTTAAGATGCCACCCATTACCATCTCCAACTTCATGATCGGTAGCCAAAATTGAAGGAATAAAGGCTACAAAAGTGGCAAAGGTGATGAAGAAGATCATGGAAGAGGCCATTGCTGTGTCTTTTGATACTCTGATGATTTTCTCTAGATGGCTTTGTGCAAGGAATTCCATGCTCTGACTATTTATAGACTTGTATTTCTGGTCAAAGTATGGAGAATTTTGCAGCACATGGACCGGCACAGTTGGCAATCTGCAAACTGCAGTGTCCATATGGCACAAGCCACCAGGAGATCCTGCAATGCTGCAAGTGCATATAAACTACCATATGGAATGGAACTTGAGCAACATTTCAATATAATTTTTTTGGAGCTGCCCATTTTAGTTTTCCGGTGCTGTCTGACGACCAGTTCAAATATTGAAGAAGGCTGAGGGCCGGACAAATCCAATTAAAGTTTTAGATTGCAATGGCCCATTTCGAAGTGTTGTCACCCATATTCAGCCCTATGTACAGTCCAGCCTAAGAGGTCCAAAACCCTAGAAAATTCTTGGACCAATCAAAGTTTCTTGATAACCACACAGGCAACCTGATATTCTTTCTCATTCAAACAAATGCAGACCCACTTCTCTTCACAGGCAATCCCCGTGCATACTTGAAAACTACCCCGTTTCTCATTACATGGCGTAATTCTTCTGTTTCCCTCCAAGTTGTTTTGGACTCATAAAATTGCTAACACAAACACACAAAGGCCACAAAATTTTTCCTGATTTTCTTTCACGAGAAATCACCTGATAGAAACCCACTTTTGCCAACAGTAAAAGCATAGCCTTCCATTTCACCCACAAACTCCCAACTACTTGAAATATAGCCACTGCATTTCCTAGTTCACGTGATGTGCCATAATACATATACACTCCACGTAGAACAGTCGTTAAGCATGTTCATATATATAACCACATGAGCTAATGCCATTTTCTACTCCTTAATCTCATATCTCATGGATAAACAAACAAATATTTGTCCTGATTCATCACTTAAGACGCATTTGGTTGATATCCATGAAGTTTTGCCTGGAGATGAAGATGAAGAAGAAGAAGGAAGAACGAGAATGAAAAAGGGACTAAACAGGCCTGTTAAACTTCGAGAAGTGAAGAGGCCTCCGAAGAGTTTTAGCAGGCAAGTGTCACTGGAGACAGGATTTGCCGCGCTGGACAGAGAATCTAAGGCCAGAGATGACCGGAGGATTCTCCAGAGAAGTGGTCGTAGCTTTGGAGGCTTTGATGCTGGTGATAGAATTGGCAGAGATGCAAGGAGAAGTGACTTCAATATCTTCAGGACAAAGTCAACCCTCTATAAGCAGGATTCTCTGTTGCCCACAAGGAAGGAGAGATTAGAGATGGAGTCCAAAAGAACAGATGACTCAAATAGGGTTGATGACTCTGTTGACAGAAGTGTCCCTGCTGGAAGATACTTTGCTGCTTTGAGAGGACCTGAATTAGATGAAGTGAAGGTATTTCAAAAATCTCAAACACCTTGAATTTGTGTCAGGATTTGCATTGTGTTCTGTTAAAAAGCATTTTCTGTTCTAGTTCATAGACCTCACAATTTTTTTACAAGCCAACCAAAATAGATAATAGGTCCGTGATAGAATGCAACGTTAATCATATGATATGACACCGTCACTCGTCAGTGCTTCCTTATATCTTTTATTCAATTTTGTCCATTTATGCAGGACTGTGAGGATATTCTTCTCCCTAAAGATGAGAAATGGCCCTTTCTTCTCAGATTCCCCATTGGTTGCTTTGGTATTTGTCTTGGTCTGAGTAGCCAAGCCGTTCTTTGGCGTACCCTGTCAACAAGCCCAGCGATCCAGTTCCTTCACGTCACGCCATTCATCAACCTTTTCCTCTGGCTATTAGCCCTTGCGGTTCTACTCTCTGTTTCCTTCACCTACATCCTCAAATGCATATACTATTTTGAAGCTGTCAAAAGAGAATACTTCCACCCCGTCAGGGTCAACTTCTTCTTTGCTCCGTGGGTTGCGTGCATGTTCCTAGCAACGGGTGCACCACCAATGATAGAACCCAGGAGACTGCACCCAGCCATCTGGTGCACCTTCATGGGACCTTACTTCCTTCTCGAGCTCAAGATTTATGGGCAATGGCTTTCTGGGGGGAAGAGACGTCTCTGCAAAGTGGCAAATCCATCTTCTCATCTCTCGGTTGTCGGGAACTTTGTTGGGGCAATTTTGGCATCTAAGGTAGGATGGAATGAAGCTGCTAAGTTCTTGTGGGCTGTTGGCTTTGCGCATTATCTTGTGGTGTTTGTGACTTTATATCAAAGACTTCCCACAAGTGAAGCGTTGCCTAAGGACCTGCACCCTGTGTATTCTATGTTCATCGCAGCTCCATCCGCAGCCAGTATTGCCTGGGAAACCATTTATGGTGAATTTGATGGGCTATCAAGGACTTGCTACTTCATTGCTTTGTTTCTCTATGTTTCACTTGTTGTACGCATCAACTTCTTCACAGGGTTTAGGTAAGGCTGATATGGTCTTAAACAGTTCTTCACAACATAGAAATTTTCTTTGTTGATTACTTAAAAGTTCTTACCTGATAATTTTGTAGGTTCTCGGTGGCATGGTGGTCCTATACATTTCCGATGACAACTGTATCAATAGCAACTATTAAGTATGCAGAGCAGGTTCCGTGTGTTCTAAGCAAGGGCCTCGCACTTTCTCTTTCATTCATGTCATCTACCATGGTGTCTTTACTGTTTGTGTCCACACTTCTTCATGCCTTCGTGTGGCATACTTTGTTTCCAAATGATCTTGCCATTGCCATCACTAAGGAAAGACTCGTGAAGGGGAATAAGTCCTTCAAGAAAGCATATGATATAAAGCGGTGGACCAAACAGGCTCTCAAAAAGAACAATTCTGTGGACACAGTTTGATAGAGAACGAAATGTGACATTAACTCCAAACGAGTCTAAGGAAATCTACAGAGAATCATAGTATCAATGCCAAACCGACTTCCAGAAGAATCAGGCATTTACATAGTATTTAGAATTAAGGAAACGCAGCAAGATTTGCACAAACGTATTTTTTGATAAAACATAATAGTCTTCCCATTACTTGTCATTAGAGTTCTACAAAATGAAGTAAAAGGAAATGGGATGATGATGCCTACTTTGAAGGCTGTACAACATGGGGTATGTGAATTTGATGTATTTATTGGACTATGAACTACAGGTCATAAATGTACCAAGCATAGAACTTAGAAGTTTGATTACATAAACCTGTGGTATGAGATCAGTATTTTGAGGGTTAAGATTGCTATCAGTGGCGTGGTTGTCCACAGATTCCATATACAGCAAAAACTTGTATCTTTTGATGAGATTTGTGCAATTGTGCGATTATCCTTCAGACTTCCAACAGCAGAAACGTAAGTTAGATGCCTGTATCGGAGACCATTTTACAAATGCTTTGCTTTCATCGAATGCCCAGGCTCCTGTAGCACCAGTTATCATATGTTCAGTTCATCACCTACAAGAAAAAAAATAAAACATAAAAATCAAACGTTCGGTTGGGATGCCATACCTCATGCTTCCTTGGTTGCCCACTTCAGTGCTCTCATCATTACCACACTGAACCTGCCTTACACCAAATGAAGGTGGTTTTTCCTTTGCTAAATGCCTTATCTGCATCAAGACAGCATTAGAAATAAAAAGTAATTTAATAAATAATAACAAGGAAAGAGGAAATTGATAACAGAAAAAGATTGGGAAAAACCTAAGCAAGCTTCCCATATGGAAGCCTGAAGCTTACCTCATGTACTGGTTGAAAAGAAGTCAATCTGTTTTCTTTTGAGCCCTTATACCAAAAAATAATCAACTCAATATGGTATTAAAGTAAAGTGAGAAAAGTATTAGAAAACCAGAGATACAAAGGAAAAGAATGTGAACCTTTATAGGTGTACGGGTAGGCATGGGCATCTTCCACTGAGATCCATTATTTTGCTGTAGTTCGGATGTTAGTGACAGCTACCATTCATCATTGAGAGCAACAACGTGAGAACACATAATTAAAATAATCATTCTAGAGAGATGTCCTAGGAAAAATAAAAAAACTAAAAAGAAACACTAAGTATGAGTCCCAGGGGAAAACCCCAAAAAAAGACCTATAAGTCATGGTTACAGCAGAATTTAAAATGCTAATGCTCATTCTTACCTTACTAAAAAGCTCTATCGGTAGATTTTGCTGAACTCTCTTCTCTGTATGGAAGTTAAATTCCTATATGATGGTGAAACACAAAATTTGTATCTCAAGGATTCATCTTTCAAACAATCTATAAACATTAAGAAAAAAAAAAAAAGATCATCCATGGACTACCATTGGCATTGTGATTTCCCGTTTGCTATTTCTGAAAACACCAATATCACCTTTACTAGAAAATATCTGCACATATGTTAGGTACAAAATTAGTTGTCCTCAATTATTAGTACAAGGTTCTAAGCAAATTGATCTATGTTTGAAATTACTCACCTTCTTGTTAAAAGGGCGAGCTTTGAAGGTATACTTTACATCAGACCCTTCCTGCACTGAGGTGTCCACAGTAGTTGGTCTGAACAAAGCCGGATCAATTTCAGAGGTAAGTCCCTTTTCCAATTCTCATTCAATATTAATATAAATAGATTACAGACAAACAAGTATGCATATGTAAAGACATGCAACAAATTCATGTATAATCTTTATAATTTATATACAATAGACCTTCTGGTTTCTCTAGCTTCATTGTCTGCAAAAGAACTTGTACTAGGTTTATCTGGCCCCTGCAATGACAATTTTGCCAATTAGCACATCCACATCTTCATACTAATGCTACATTGCTACTTGGCACAAGAAACTATTTTATAGTTAAAAACAAAAACCTTAACAGGATGATTGCTTTGAAGTGAAGACGATGATGGAGCAAATGAGTGTTGCACAGCCCTCTCAGATGTCTTCAGGTGAAATTCCTGAGAAGCAATATTAAAAATAAATAAAGGAAGAAAACAGAGCAGATGAGTACCAACAGTACAGCAGACATCCAATATTTTTTGTGCTCACCTGAAACTCTGGCGGCCTTGGTATGCTCTTCTTTGGAAGTGGTAGAGATGGGGCCTCCAGAATCTGCAAATTTTGAACACATGTTTTAAGGGAAGGATGCTAAATACAGCAACTTCTACCCAAAATAAAAAGCTTCTGTTCATAAATACCAACTTTTCTGTTCAATGGACGTGCTTTGAATCTATTGGCAGTAGACGTCGGATGTTCTTGTTCTGCACCAGTCTTAGGCCTGAATAAAAAGACATTATTGTCCAGAAGCCTGTTAGATGAAACTTTCTATGATACCTCTTGATGAAATAGCAACCACAAACTAACCGTATCCTTTGAGCACGATGTGCTGTTTCAAGTTCAGGCTCTCTTGGAATGGTGAGTTTCAACCTTGTATGTATTGAGTTTTTATCAGCAGCTCCGTCCTGAAAAACCACCAAAATGTAATTGACAACCTATGAGATGACCTAAACATCTATAAGGATACAGAAAACATATTTCTCCCAACTCATTTATTAACCTTTGGCCTATTCTCTTCTCCTTATTCCTTGCCAGTAAATTTTTTCTTCTTCTTAAGTCAGAAGCAATAAAACATAGAAAGTAACTACATTACCATCAATACAAAATCAAATGTCCACTTCTTCTTTTTTTTTCTTTTTTGGGTACATAAATGTCCACTTCTTTTGTTCCATAGGATTGTATGCCATGCTTTCTACTTTTCATCAGTAAAATAAATAAATTGCTACTTCTGGAACATTCGATAGCAAAAGCATAAACAGTCTGGCAAACAGGGTAATTCAAAGCATTAGGGAGACTAAGATACCTTTTTAGGTGCCTTGTGAACCAAATTACTTTGCTGATTCAAATCACCAACCTGCCAAATAGGACAAATATTTGAGCTGGGGCTAAACCCTTACATGGTAACTAACGAAACTAGGCTCAATTAGAGTAGTAACAAATATGGGGGCCTGGTGTCTGCCAAGTGTAATAGGCTTATTGAAGGCACAGAAGACGGTTATCACAACCAAGTCTACCTAGAGACTGGGCCAAGTGGATTAAGTGATCCAGGCCAACCTTTTGTTGGCATCACCACTGAATCTTTGTTGTCCATATTAAAAAAGACACAACCATAGACACAACCTTTAGTTGAAGTACAACCTTTCAAGTATTCTTTCTACAATAGCCACACTACTGTTACTTGCCAGATTGTTAACATTAAAAGTATATTTTTCAACATTGTACTAACTTTCCTGGCAATCTTTCAAAATAATCAACAAGGTCAATTTGCATAATTGCCATGATCAGTACTCCAAAACACAAACAAGATAAAGGAACCAGAAGTATATGGCTTTATAAATTATAGAATGGCATACCTTGCGCAGGAGACCTCCCTCCAGCTTCTGCCTCTTGGCAGCTTGAGTCTCAACAGCGGAGGAATTGCACAGGCTACTCTTGTTGTTTTGAGCAAGTATCTTCTGAAATCTAAAATCAGAAAAAACAAATTGACAAGGTTAATGGAAAGATTGCTAAATCAGAGTGCCTTTTTAGAGGGCTTAAGTATGTAGTCAATACTCATAGCCTAGGTGGCTACAAAATTACAGATAATAACACCACTTTGAAGATTCAATAACTATGGTGCATAAAAGTTGCTATGCACAAGAAACTGGAGATAGGAAAGTATCTATTTTGTTGAATTCAACGGTTATTTCATGAGGCAAGAAAGAAAGGATTGAAAATTTCTTATTTAGCTATCAAAAGTGACTCTAAGATTGCATCCATCTTTATGAAAACATTAGAAAATAGAGTGTGAAAATAAATAAGAAAGAGAGAAAGCTTTTTCAAATGTTACCTAGACCCAGCAACACGATGGGGCTCATTTTGTTTTGCTAACTGACTAGCTGTAGGTTTCATCAGAGTTGAGCTCCTGGGCAAAAATGGTTTACCAGTCTCAGATTTGGGCTTCAGTTTATCTTTCGATATTTCATCCCAGAATGCAAAGCCTGAAAAAGAGGACAAGAAAAGAAGGAATGACATTTGCCACCACATAACAAGCACCACCACCAATTAACAAAAAATCATCCCAGAAAACCATAAACCATAAGAGCCAAATTCAAGTATCGAGTCCAGAGTATTACCAGGCAAAAATTGCAAGGATAAAGAAAGGACATAGGTTTTATGAAATGCTTAGCTTTATTAAACAGACTTGGACTACAGCAAAGGCTACAAAAGTAAGAACTAAATACTAAACCAGTGAACATTTTAAAATTTCAGAAATTGCAGTATATTCAAACCTGGAAAAAGAACTGGTAACTTAAAACTTAAACCCCTATTTTCACTAGCTAGCAGCATATTACCTGCAGTAAATTGTAATGGTTTATTCAAAGCTTTCTGAAGAACCTTTTGTATATCAGTAAAGATCCTTCCATGACTTCCTTCGTGATCTAGAAGATAATATAAGGTGTAATAATGTCAGTACAGCAGATTTATGCCATGGACCCAATTAAAAATGACAAAAACTAGTCTTCAGATTCTTGTTTTTGCACTTTCCTAAAACAACTTGACTATGAAGAATATCAGGTGAATAATAATACAATATACTTTAAAATATACAAGTTTAACAACATAAAAGAGCATAAATTGCTAAAAGAAACTTAATAAGTACCTCTTCTAGCGACATCCAAGACAGAATATTCATGGTACAAGGCATCATCAGGTTCATTGTTGAGCACTGTACTATTATCCTCCACTTCCTTACTTTTAGGAGAGACATTGACATTTCCCATGAGAGTGTCCTCCCCCAAAACTAACTTTTTAACAAAAGCTACAACAGAAAATCAAATGACAGCAAAGAAAAAAGGCCATAAATAACAGAATGAAAATATCACCACACCACCCCCCCCCCCCAAAACAACAACAACGTTACGTCTTTTTTTTTTTTCTTTTCCCTTCCTTTTTTGTTAGTTTGAAATTTCAGACCGGCAAATTTAAATTAGCATAAAGAATTGTCTTTTAACCTTGAATGAATTAAATCAATGTTAAAGGTTTCATTTAAAAAAAAAAATTTTATTTAATTGTTAAGGGAATTTTTTATGATAAATCTCAAAAAATCGTGAAAATGACAGCAAATGGACTGAGAAATAACACAAAAAATACATTCCAATTGGAAAAAGATTAAACAATCATTAGCAGTTTAATACCGAACTTTTAAAGAGATAAAAGTAAATACAGATTACAGATGATCTACTGCTTATTGATGCTCGAAAATAGCTAAGTAAAGCTTCTCATTGCTCATTCTTCTTCAATCAAACACCAAGCCAGCTTTCCAAAACAAAGAATTGGAAAAGTTATTCCATTTTCTTTACAGACAGTTTGAAGGAAGCATTATTAGGGTTTAAAGTTAGGAGAAAAACTCACGAGAAGGAGGATAACTCGGCGCCGACTCGAACCAGAGCTCCGCCGCCCGAGCCTCCGCGAACGACTCCTCGCGAGTGAAATCGAAGAACCGAGCAGCATCAAACTCGTAATCGAGATCGATCTCCCTCACCTCGAACACTGGCTCTATCTCCATCTCCTCTTCCATTCCTCTCTCTCTCTCTCTCCCTCCGTAACCTCACCTGAACAACACCATTGTTCCCCGGATTTTATCCAAAACCCTAGAAACTGCAAAACCCGAGTCGCTCCTGCAAAGGCGCAGATTTCGCTAAGCTTAACACTGCGCTTCACTGCACTGTGGTATTGTAGGAAAACAAAAACAACACAGGCGTTTTTATTTATTTATTTCCAAAAACTAAAAATAAAAAATAAAAACGAAAACAAAGGGTATAACATTCGTAGCCTAAGGTACAAGCGCATTGAAGCCTCATCGGATTCCGATTTCGTTTTTATATCGTCGAGGAGGTTTTTTTTATTTTTTTGTAACGATCCAGAATTTGAATTAAAAATGACAATATATTAAAAAAAAAAAAAAGAGGCCTTGATTTCGAGAGTACCCTTGGAGTTGTGGGGAAATTTCGGAGGATTGGGGGAGGGGGTTTTAAGTGGAATGGAGGGTAAAACGGTCAAAAAGATTTCAAAATATTTGAGAATGTGATGTATTGGAAGTGAGGAGGTGGGTGGGGGGCAGCGGCGTTGGGGTTCGAGCTGATGGGTTTGGGGAGGCGAGCGTTTGGGGGTTTGTCCAGTCCGACGACTCTGAAATTCCGGCGGGGGTGAAAAATGTCCCTGGTTTTTGGATATAATCGCAAGATTGCCCCTAACGGTTTAATTCGTTTGTCCGGGGGAGAAAAGGTGGGAAGTGGTGGCCCCCACTGCTTCCCAATTCAAATACGCAGAGAAGACACAAGTGCAAAATTAGAATTTGAAACTCACAAGATGTTATTAGACTTATTTGTATCTTGTAGTGTCATGTTACTAGAGTAGAAATTTTGTTTTATATATATTAATTTTCTTGAATTTATCTGATGTTCTTCAAAATTTTGTTTTAAAAAATTGATATTAAGATAAATGAAAGAGAAATATAAAAATCAAGACGTCTTGATGCCCTCAAAACGTTTATCAAAGCTATTCATGAGTGGATATTACCCTTGAAAATCACTCCATAAATAATTGTGATGGACCGTGAGTGAATTTTACTTTTGAGACTCACTCAACAAATAATTATAATGGATATCTTGATTTCTTGAACTCTCTATATAAAAATTAAAATTAATAATAAATTTTTAAATAAATTTCTTATTTTATAATTTAAACTGTATTAAACTGTAAAATAAAAATTATTAATAAGAAAAATGATTGATTCCAATATTAAAAAATCTGTCATATCTAATGTTTTATATTATATAATCTATATCCAATAATATTTTTTTAGTTTTAAATTTATGAGACTATAAAAAAACTTTATTATGAGAACATATGGCTAATGGTTGAACAAATTTTGTTAGAAATATTCCTAATGCATTGTATCTTCTATGATGTATATAATTTACCTTAATTGAATTCTTTAGCAAAGAATACAGTAATGCTGAGCTGAACATAGAACCGTCCTTGTCTTGTTTGAGAATGAGTCTGATATACTGTGATACATGGTGAGAAAATGCTTGCAGCATTGACTCATTTAAGGGTGCTCTGCAGAATGTGATTATTATTGTTTCGGTGGTTGGAAATTTCAGACAGAGATTTGAAGACCCATGCCATGGGCCGGACATCTAATTAAATGCGGCACATTGATGCTGGTTCCAATTACTACAAGATCTCATCATGAAAATCCTTTACTCAGTCTAGTCAACCTTGTCCTTCCATTATTGTTCTGGGTCATTAATTACATTTCAGAGGCCCAAGCCCAAAATAGAGTTCCGAGATTGAGAGTATTCGGTCCACTCCTCCTGCCTTGTAAACCGTCAGGCTAAGGTATTCATTTTTATACATTCCCTTTTGAAATGGGCCAGTTATGGGTGGAAGTGAGAAATGCATTATATATAGAGAAAAATAAAATTGTTGTACCAATAAATTTGTTGATTTGAGTGAAAAGAATCAAATTTTCTTTGAATAAGGTCTCGAGTTCGAATCTCTTGAATAGAAAAATAGGCATTAGGAGAGTTTTTCCTAATAGGATCTAACGCAATTCGATTTTAAATTAATTTTAAATTAATCAAAACCCAATATAATTACTAAATATCAAAAAATTAATATATAAAAAAAAAAAGTTACGCGATTCAGATTATTATATCAGATCAGATTATATAATATTTATTATTGAATGGTAGACGATCAGGGAGACCTCTTGATATTGGAGTATGGTCCTCCATTTAATGGTTCTAATTTTATGGTTTATATTACAAATTATATATGTGCAGAAATAGGGAGGAGGAGGATTTATTGGAGCCAAATTCAGTCCACAGCTAGTAGATACAAATTAGGCCATTGAAATTGGACGTCATCCGTACTACGTGATGTTGTTGTTGTTGTTTCTTTCGAGCACGCAACTACTATTCTATTACATCTTTGCATCCACACCTCATACATCCACATCCTGTTGTCATTATATCCACTTCCCAGGATTTTTTTAAACCTTGAATTTTGATATATATATATATATATATATATTATGTGCATCAGTGTGTAGACTCTCTCATGCACCAGAGCTTTATGGTAATTCTGATTAAGTTGATGATAAATTAATTGATAGCTAGGCTACATTTTAGAAATTGTATACAGGGTTGAACCAACTTTACTTGAAATTGAATACGTGCAAGGCTCAAAAACCTGGATGAACTAAGTAAACGTGAATTTGTAAACAGAATCTTGAAAATGGCTAGAGTGCAAGAATAGATAATTATTATTATCATCACTATCTTCGTCATCATTATAAATTATATAATAAAAAATAAATTTTTTTTATTTTATTTAATCATTTACATATCTCATAAATCAAATTTAAAATATTTTATTTTCGTTTAAAAGTGATTACTATTAAATTTTTTAAAGTTAATGTCATTAAATAAAAATTTTTTAAATGCTAAAAATGGTTGAATCCACACGATAACGTAAAGCCTTGTTTATCACTAACTTGCTTGTTCAAAAGGCTTAATTAATGTCTTTTTTTTTGCCAAAAAAAAAATTAATTAATATCTAACCTTTGAGATCTAGTGGCATTAGTCACCGTGCATTTCCCCACCTCCTGGCAAGGTTCGAAACCCCACCCCTTGCAAAATATGTTCAAAACAAAAAAGGGGTTAATTAATTCGGTCAATTGAGTATCGAGGATCACTCACGTTCTTTCTTTGCCATCATCTATATATCAAATAGAAATTTAAGTCTGTGGGTGTGGCTGTAAGCTGTATAAAAAGGATTTATTTTTTCAGATGGTCCAAATCCAGTGCAGCGAAAAAGGCTTTGAAATGTGACATCACAATTAATATTATAGGTGAAATAAGAATATAATTTTTGTATAATTTTTTAATTTTATATTTTTGTACAACTTGATATATCATTAAAATAAT